TCACCTCTGGGATCCGTGAGAGACACATCAGAGCCCTGGGCACTGTCACTGCCTGGGGGAGAACAAAACCAGGACGTGGTCAGAACCCACAGGAGAGAAACTAGAGACGGAACTCTGAGGTGGGGATGATCTCCCCCCATGGCTTCCCAGCTCCACCATCACAAGGGTCACAGGAAAGACAGTCACGCTGTACTTACTTGCAGCCTGAGCATAGCTCCCTTCTTTTTCACCTGTGAGAAGAAATTATCATGTGAGATGCCAGGGAAGAAGACTAAGTCATTAGAAGAAACCCTTGTCCTGGACCACAGAGAACTTTCCAGAACTGTGACCAAAAATCCAGGACAGGAACAGGAATGTGAAGGAAGGAGATGTCGGGTATACAGATCAACTGCCCTCCTGGAGGCCTGTCCTCAGTGGGGGGGGGTCTATCCCTCTGAACTTTGACAGCTAGGAATCTGACCTTCAATCCAGAATTATCAAGGTGAGAAATTTTCCTGTCATTTTCACAAGTGCTTTGCAAAGAGTAGGTGCTATCACTCAGCTCCAGTCGGGCAAGCAATTGTGTGTGGATGGTTCTTCCTAGTAATGAGGCAGACAAACTTCCACCTGGGCTTGAACCCCAAAATGAGACAAGAAAACTCAGATCCCTCCTCCCTTCCCTACCTAAGCGCCTCTTCCTCCAGATCACAACTCCCGCCACCACAGCTGCAGTGACCACAAAGAGAACCAGGCCAACAATGATGCCCATGATGGGGACGGTGGGCTGAGGAGGCGGCTCTGCAACGAGAAGGGAAGGGGCCCTGACCTCAGGCTTGAGTCCGGACCTTGCTGAAAGTTTCCAGAAGGGCTTCTGCTTTATCTGAGAAGAAGCTCCACCCCTGTGTCCCTCCTCACCCCATCTCAGGGTGAGGGGCTCCTGAAGCCCCTCATGCTCCACATGGCAAGTGTATCTCTGCTCCTCTCCAGGAGGCACCACCAGGGCCGCCCACTTCTGGAACGTCCCGTCCCCCGCAGGCCTGGTTTCCACGAGCTCCGTGTCCTGGGCCTGGTCCTCCCCATCACGCTGCCAGGTCAGTGAGATGTCCGCAGGGTAGAAGCCCAGGGCCCAGCACCTCAGGGTGACCTCATGGTCAGAGATAGGGTGATGGGTCACATGGGTCCTTGGAGGGTCTGAGGAAAAAGAATCAGAAAATTCTCACTCTGGGTTACCTCCATGGGCAAATGAAACAGCATCATGTGACCATCCTGAGACTGGACAGGAGAATGGGTTCGAAAAACGGACAAACCGTTTTTCATGGGTATCTGTGAATATCTCCTAGTCCTCGGAATGTTCAAGTGTCAGAATGAAAGACAAGATAGAAGGTTCCAGGACCGTAAGGGGGAGAATACAGAGTCATGTTTATGACGGAGGCGGATGACCGACTCAGAAAAGCTGGAATCAGTCCTCCAAACACGTTCTCGGGCTGAGAACACGGCTTGCGATAGAAACTCCTAGTTCACAGGATGGCAGCAAGGGTGAAAAGCACCACTGATCAGTTGTTTCAGGGATGGTCTCCCCTTCTTTATCCTAAAAGAGACTGGATTAGTTAACTGTCTTTGAGAGAAGTCGGGTACTTGCGAGTCACTCTTTTGTACAGAATGTGAAAACCTGGGCAGATTCCTCCCTCTCCCAACAAGAAATTAGGGCGATATTCCCGCAGGATCCCATCTTCCTCTCCTTGTGGGATTCGAGCTCCAGTCTGAGGGGAGGCCGTGGAGGCCCCGCGGCCCCTCCTACCTGTGCGCTGCAGCGTCTCCTTCCCGATCTCCAGGTGTCTGCGGAGCCCTTCCACGCAGGTGCCCTACAGGTAGTTCCGCCCCTCCTCCGCCTCACCAGCCGCCTCGCACTGGGGCTGTGTGATCTGAGCCGGCGCGTCCGCCGCGGTCCAGGAGCGCAGGTCCTCGCTCAGGGCGATGTAATCCGCGCCGTCGTAGGCGTCCTGGCTGTACCCGCGGAGGAAGCGGCCATCCGACCCCACGTCGCAGCCAAACATCCTCTGGTAGGTGTGAGACCCTGACCCCGCCCCGCCCCACCACAGTGCTTAAACTCAGATTTTAGAAAATGAAACCAGGTCAAAGTCCCTGGAGGCTTTTCCTGGGTCGGGGCCCAGGCGTGTCCCTCAATGTCGGGGTAACCCACAGACTCGGAGACTCGGGGGACCCCGGCCCGTCCCTGTGGATGGAGGTCGTGACCCGGACCCGCGCCCACGTCGCTCACCGGCCTCGCTCTGGTTGTAGTAGCCGGGAACGGTGCGCAGTTTTTCTCGGAAAATCTGTGCGGTGCCTTTGTATATCCGTGTCTCCCGTTCCCAGTACTCCGGCCCCTCCTGCTCCACCCACCGCGCCCGCGGCTCCATCCTCGGATTCGGGGCGTCGGTGTCGAACCGCACGAACTGCGTGTCGTCCACGTAGCCGACGAGGACGAAGCGGGGCTCCCCGCGGCCGGGCCGGGACACGGCGGTGAGGAAATACCTTACGGGAGTGGGAGCCTGGGGGCGGGGACAAATGAGACCCGGCCCGACCCTCCTCCGAGTCGGGCCCCGGGTCCGAGGTGATGGGGCTGCGATGGGGCCAGGAGAGCGTGTGAGACGGAAACCTGGTCGCGGGTCGGAGAAGGGTCGGGCTCCAGTGGGAGAGAAGAGGGGGCGGGAAGCTAAAGAGGAGACGGGACCCGGGTGAGATCATGGGTCTGGGAGGAAGGCAGAGACGTCTCAGCTTCCTGGGGGTCCTGCTCCCCCTCCATCTCCGGGCCGGCCCCTCGCTCCTCCTCCGCAGAGGCCGTTCCCTCCCAACCCCGCACTCACCCGCCCAGGTCTCGGTCAGGGCCAGGGCCCCCGAGAGCAGCAGGAGGAGGGTTCCAGGCGTCATGACCCGCCTGCTCTGAGTCAGGGAAGCTGAGTGGAGGCGGGTCCGTGCGGACTTTATAGCAGGGAGTCGCAGTGACGCTGATTGGCTTCTCTAGAAAACAGACACCAATGGGAGTGAGAAGTAGGGTTGCGTCAGGAATGTCCGGGCAGAAGGGCCAGACACAGGTTGTGAGAGAGAAAGTGAAACCCGGGGAGATGGGGAGTCCGCAGTACCGAGCGTCCCCGCCCCAGACCCCGCCCTCGGTGAGACCCCGCCGGTGATCCCTCCCCTCCTGCACTGAGAGATCTCATTATCATGCGGTTTTCCTGGCTCCTGGCCCAGGGCTGTGTCAGTTTGCTATTTTCAAAACATTTGGTCAACATACTTACACAATCATACAAATGCCTGAGGACCTCAAGGATAATTTTGTACATGTGGCTACATCTATCGATATTTTGCATATAGGACTAATAGTTTAAATTTTTAAATTAATTTGTTGAGAGTAATATTAATAACCCATACATTTAATATAAAAATAATTTCCCAAAATAATCACCGGAGAGAGAATAGAGGAGATTTTACATTTTTACATTGTTTTGCAAGTCTCTTTCTAGTCTGTCTCATTAGAAGACCACTGGATTTTCATGTTTGCTGCTGCATTTATTCCGTTATTTTGATTGAAGTCTCACACATACATAGGAGTAGTATATTTAATAACCTTTTCAGATAATTGTGGATGGTCCTCTTTGATACTAAACTAAAACTACACACATGGTAGTTTGTCAAAGGTTCTTTGCAAAGTGGACCTGAAACAGTATCAGTGAATATTTCCTATCTGTTACATTAAAATCCACATGCCTTTTTTATACACTGAATATCTCTTGTACTAATGGAAGATGTTTTAAAAGTAATACATTGTTTCACAAAGTTATACAGATCTTCCAGTATCATTCAGTCTTTCAAGTACAAGTAGTATTCCATAAAAGAGAGGGTATTCCACTTCACACAAATGATTTCACGTGGGACACAGTACTTTGAAATGTAGCAGAAGTGGTTGATGTGTATGTCCCATGCCATCATAGAAGATATTTTTAGGGGGGAATTAGATTTATTTATGTACTTTTGTAATGGAGGTACTGGGGATTGAACCCAGGACCTTGTGCATGCTAAGCATGCGTTCTACCACTGAGCTATACCCTCCCCCATAGAAGATATTTTTAAAACATGTTTTAAGCATTATGATTTAAGAATGATAACAATTTTAATGCTTCAACCAGGATGTTTTGAAACAAACTTTTTTTTCCTTCAAGTAAGTTGTGAAAATGATCACTGTTAACAGTTTGCTTCCATAATCTCCATTATTTCTAAGATGTACCTCAAAGCAGATGTCAACATAGTGAGAAGGCAAATAATATCTTAGTAATGCTATGAAAATAGTTTTGACTGGGCATCTGATTGAATCTCACCCATAGGGTGAGAGGATACAGCTGTACCTGGACAGAAGCAGTGGTCGCTGTATGAGCACGGGGAGAGGTTTCGTACACTGTGAGGGACACAGTGCTTCCTTGTTTGCTCTGTGCATAGACAGAATCATGTCGTGGTTTTCTTTGTCTCCCTGTGTCATGGTCTCAAGTGTCCTTGTCTGATGTCAAAGTGCTGTGGGATGACTTATGTCCACAGCGGAATAACATGACTGAGTGGGGAGCATCAACCAAGCTTCTGATGACACTGAGGCCCGTGTAAGTGTCAGACCAGTTCCTGCGGTCAGAGGCTACTTTGTCCTTCTTGAATTCAATATTTTAAAATAACTACATCCCCCCCCCACAAAAGAATATTAGAGAATGATTTGGAAAAGTAGAAATGCAAATGTTAAACAAATATGTTAGTATTAAATAAATGTAAACAAAAATGAAAATGTGGAATAAGAAACGGAAATGAATTCCAATCTATCATCTTGGCAAAGATGAAAGTGAATGAGGGGAATATTGACAGGAATTGAGGGAGAACAGACTGTCAAAAAGACTAATGGGATTGAAAACTGGGACAAAAATCTTAAAGTTTTGCAAAATATCTCAGTATTTTAAATATGTCTCCTTTAGAAAGTTATCCCAAGAAGATAATCACACATGTTCTCAAAAATATTCAAGGATGCATCTTGAACTGTGCTTTATAGAAGCAGAGTGGAAACAATCTCAATGCTGCAATCACTGTAATGATGGTCACTATGAATAGAGGGGCACTGACTATGTCTCAGGCAGTCATTCCATGCGATTTACATACAGGGTCAATTTATGCCTCAAAGCAAACCCATGAGGTGATCACCACGTGACCCCTTGGAGCAGACAGGGAAAGGAGACTCAGAGAGGTTAAGGAGCATCGAGGCCACCTTGCATCAGGATCTGGAGACACTGGAGGAGAGCAACAGTTAGGCCCCTGCTGATGGGAGACGGGCTCTGCTGTGCGGGAGAGGGACAGAAATGACCGAGACAGATGTACATCACGACTGCGCTAAGTGCCGTGAGGAAGACCTCATGATGCCATGAGAGCAGATAAGTGGAGTCCCGACAGGTCCCCTGCCGCTGTTATCAATAATATCTGAAAGATGGAAAGGATAAGTGGAATATGAAACAAAAACAGAATTCTATACAATTATATACAATCATAGAATGAAAAAGAGCTCTTGGGAATTAAAAATGCAATCATAGAAATGAACAATTCCATAGATGAATTGGAAGATTTTAGTCGTGCTCCCAGTAAGTAGATGGAACAGTAATGACAAGGAGGAGAGACGACCTGTAAGAATATGTCTGTCAGTCATGACGTTTCAACAAGTTACAAATACAAGTTTCAGAAATAATGGAGAGTAGGAAATGATAAAAAAATTCAAGAAAACTTCTCAGAATTTACAGACAAAAATTTATATCTTGAACAGCCTACACAAATTCTTAGTGCACTAGATGAAAACAGACCCACACCAAGACACATCAGGTGAAATTTTAGAAAGAAGTTGGAAAGAAGAGACCTTGAAAACTTCAGAAGGCAACAAACAGGGTCCTGGAGGCTAGAAGACACTGAAGCAAAGCCTTCTGAAGTCTGAGGGGGAAAAAAAAGGTATTTCCAACAAAGAGTTGTATATCGAGCCAAGATGCACGTCCTAGGGAAGCCTAAGGCCCTTCAGAGTTAGAATGTTTTCACTTTCCATGTTCCCTTCCTGACGATATTGTTAGGCAAAGTCAGGGAAAATAGTGGAGAAAATAAACAATGGGGAAGACATGGGATCCTGGCCCCAGGGGAGTCAAACAAGGGAGGGCGAGGGCTGTCTCAGAGGAGGTGAAGGAAACCAGAGACATCAGCCCTGCCCCAGGTGTGCAGGGACCCTGTCCACATGAGGCAGGACTGAGGACTGTGGGACAGGTCTGTGCAAAGAGATAAAGTGGCAGAATATCAGATATCCTCAGATATGTTCACAAAGACTAGACTCCAGGAGAGTTTGGGGATGGTTTAAAATGAGTACAACAAAAGGATAATTAACTTCAGAGAAAATAAAAAATTCATATAAACATGTTTATAAATTATAATTATATTGTGGGAATAGGGTGTATGAAAGAAGAACCAATTAACTAAAGGTGATACATAAAACTGAGGAAAAATAAGGAATATTATAGGGAGCATGCTGTCTAGAGGCACTGAAGTAACCATTAGAGAATCAGCTAGACCAGCTCGTCTGTGAGGTTCAAGATCTGGGAGGGACACGGAAGATTGAGGACATCTACTTTCATATTAAGTGTAGAACTATTTTACTTTTTGAAACTGTGCATATATCCTTTTAGCTAAAAATGAAAAGGTAACTCGGTAGGTGTGAGAATGGACTTGGGAACTGTTCTATAAGGAGAGTCATAGACATGGGGCAGATGTTGGGAGGAAACTGGATGTTGAGTGGTGGGTTTTTATGGGAGGATTTTCTTCTGATTTATTTAGTTTTCATTGCTTTTTGGTGGGAGGATTATAGCATGTTTGTATGCAGGAATGAAGGAGGCAGCAGAGAGTGGGAAACTGCTGATACAGAGGAGGGAGGAGCTGCATCCTGTGTCCTCCCTGAGGGGCAGCCTTACACAGGAGGGACCATCCATCATCACTGGTAGGAAGAGGATACAAGTGTAATTGCGGGAGTGTGGGAGGATAATGATGTAATTCTCATCTGAGTCCTCTTTCATTTTCTGAGTGAAAACAGAAGTTCACCATTAAGGATAGGGATCGAGGAGGGAGTGGAGGGGATTGAGGAGGGAGGAGGAAGTGAGAAACAGCCCCTAGAGGAGGTGGGAGAGTGAGCTGACTCAGGACATGGCATCTGAGAGTGCAGGGTGGGGGCCACTGAGGTCCGTGCTCATCAACTTAGAGAAAGTTTCAGTACTAGGGCAGTAGTAGGAGGATATATAAAAGAACAAAAACAAAATGCAACAAAATATCTCCGGTGTGAAGATTCCAGTTCTTTTCCTTTGTCATTGATCACTTTCAACACATTATAACTTGTGTTACACTGAATATACATTATATCATATATGATACATTACATGTAAATCATAATCAGAATTTAAAAGGTTTGTTTAAATTTTTTAAAGGGAAAAGAGATGAATAGGAAAAGTCAAGACTGGGGGACGCAGAGCTGGTCACGTCGGGCTCTGGGCGGTGAACTCATGGAGCCTTTTCTCCTTTTCTCAGGACCATGTTCTCTGCAGAGGCCAAGCAGGAGCTTTCCCTTCTTTTTGAGGTGTGGTCCTCTATGAGTACCTTGTCACCTTTTTGATGCTTCTAAGATGGTTTTTGTATTTTCATGGCCTTTTAAGCAATTTTCAGTGAGGAGAACTGTCCATACAATCCAGCCCATCTTTTCCAGTCATGGAAATTCTGTGGAAGAAGAGCTCAGTCAAAAGGTGATGGGTCTGGAGTAGAGGATCAGAATGGGCGTCGTGACACATAATCTGAAGATGATTGTCAAGTGTTTTCTGAGTGTAAGGGTTTTTAATGTCACCTTTGAAAGCATTATTTATGAGCAGCAAGAGAATTGAAAAGATACTCAATGTACAAAAATAAATAATTCACCTTATCCCTCTGATCTCCCAGTCGCCCAGGTCCTCTACTCAGAAAACACTGCAGTTAGCAATTACTCATTTCTTTCCCCAGGAAAACATCCCTAGGCATTAATGAATGCTGATATGTCAGTCATAGAGCTCAGGCCACAGACTGGGAGAAATTATTTGCATATTCATGTATCTGATAAAGTACTTGTATTAGAATATACACAGAACTGTTAAACTCAGTAATATGAAAATAAATTGTTCAGATTAAAAAATTCTGAACAGACACCTCCTCAAAGAAGAGTTGTCAATGGAAATGCATAAGATGCTCCACATCATGTGTTAGTAAGACATGCGAATAAAAGCAACAATGATGCACCATCACACACCGATAAGAACAGCTAGACTCCAAGAACGGGTGATGCCAAGCGCTGAGCAGGACGTGGAGCCGCAGAAGCCCCCGGCACTGCTGCAGGAACACGAAGCAGCGCAGCCACTGCAGGGACGGGCAGCAGTTTCTCATGAAGCTACACAGAGGCTCACTGTCCCACCTGCTGATCACTCCAGTACTTACAAAACTCATCTGAAAACTCATGTTTTTAGAAAACCCAGCACACCAATGTTTATAGCAGAGTGCCCCTCAAGTGCGGCCTGCACATAGTGACTTCCTTCTAAAAACTACAGTGTGGGAAGTGGGAAAGGAAAAGTAAAACATCAGAAGGAGAAACCTGGGACAGGTACCGTAGCCAGGTGATGACGTGCACTTATTAGTGATAATCAAGTGGAGAGCACACAGCCTGGGTGTGTGGAGAATGTCAGTTCATCTCTGTGGTCTTTTTCCCCCAAACTCTTTGCACCAGTCACTCAAGTCAAATGAGAGAGACAGTCTACAACAGCCCTGAGCAGTCTTGTCCACAATATACAGGCCACTGAAAATGAGGGAAGCCTGAGAGACTGTCACAGCCACAGAGCCTGAAGGAGACAGGACTGGGACTTAATATAATGTGTCTTTGATAGGATCCTGGATCAGAAAAAAAAGAAAAACAAATGAAATCCAAATAAATTTTAGAGTTTACTAATAACGTATCAATGTTTCTTCATTAGCTGTGATAATTTGTGATGGTGATACGTTTCCTAAGGGGAAACTGAGTGTGGGATATACAGGAACTCTGTACTAACTCTGCAATTTTGTTGTAAATCTCAAACTAATCTCAAAATATTTTTTAAAAATTTTAAACTATTCCTTAGAAATGAACAGCAATTGGAAGAATCAATACAGATGTTGAGTTTTCCAGGGTGTTTTCATCAAGGGATGGAGAGTGCATTGTGGAAAAAAAGGATGTGCACCTCAGACACAGGGCAGGGCTGCAGGGCTCTCCTCTCCTCCACTTCCTTCCCCCACCCCTGCGCCTGACCCCAGAGCTACTCAGAAGGCATCTTCATTTCCCATTGCTCTCTGGTCTCCAGGTCAGCCATCTATCTCCCTGTGACTCAGACCACAGCCACTATGCTTCACGGGATGTGCTGAATAAAAGACAACAGAGTGGCTGAGCCCTTGGGTGGCCACAAGGATGATGTCAGGTGACCTGAGCTCCCCTTTGACTTCTTTACCAGGGACCTGCCCAGGGCCTCCTTAGGCTCCCAGCAGTGGGACAGGGCTGTGCACACAAGGGGGTGACCCATCCGGTGTTAAGTTCAGAGTCTGAAATGTTTCCCCAAATGTAGGCTTACATAGATGTTTTCTCCCCATTAAATTACCAAGGTTTCTCAGAGAGGAGAAAATCTTGAGAACCATACAACTGGTTCCCAGGCTTACGGTGGACCCCACAAACCCTCAGTGGAGGACCTCAGTCTCCAGGGATAGTACCTTAAGCCACAAGTAACTGTCACCTGTTTCCACTGCTGCTAACAAGGATATAGGCTCTTGCTCCAGGGTATCAAGTCTGGAACCTCCACCCCTAGGATTATGTAGAAGTGGGGGGATGGGGAGGAGATCCCCAGAGTAATGGGGGTCCTTGAGATGTGAGAAGGAAGAAATCATGACAGTAGGAGATGGAGGCCAACAGGACTGGAGAAGGAAGAACCAGAGAGGAGAGTGGCAGGGGAGGGGCCAGCTCAGTGGCCACGTGTGCAGGAGGGATGGGGTCTGTGTGGGGAGAGGCACAGGGGCTCCTGGGCTGGGTGCTGGGAGAGGCTCTAGTTTTCACCTGGATGGTAATTACACAGGCATTAGGTCTGTGTTTTGCTGGTAAACTCTATGTAAGTTTCAGGTATTTTCTGTACTTACAGGTCTAGAACAACTCAAATACACATGGAAGAAAGAGAAAAGGAAAAAAAGGAGAGAAGGGAGGTGACTTAAGGAATTCCTTTCTTCCAGAGAAATATCCCGATTGCCAGTACCGACTCCACCCCACCCCCACCCGCCAGGATGCAGGGGGCAGGGAGAATCAAGGGAGAGCCTGTACTCAGCTCACAGCCTGGGCTACTTGGACACCATCTCTTAATTTGCTAAGACAGTGGGGACCACTGTGCCAAAAAGACTGGCAGCAGGAGTTGTAAAAAGACCTGTCTAGCTGGTGAACATGGAGGTCATTCCTGGAGAGCAGAGGACAGGATGTCAAGTGGAGCCTGGAGACCACAGTGACTACAAGGAGATTAGACAGGAGTCTGGGTTCAGGTGTCTCCTGAACATTTCCCTGAGAACACGAAAACCACCTGCCCCCCCCTCAAGACCTACAGGACCCAGGCGTCCCAACACTGTTCCCAAGGACACCAAGCATGGACCCTCCTGTGCAGGCATCAAACTTTCCACTCTTTGAAGCTTCAAGGACTCCCTATTCTCCTCCTCAGTCCCGAGAGCCCAGGACCCCAGCATCCTGCCTCTTCTTTCCCTTTGTGGACCTAACAGACAGGGACCTGCTGTCCGGATCCCTCAGGTTTGTCTCTAGCCACCTCCAGACCCTGAAATTAAATGTCCTGTATTCCTGGACCCAAAGCTGATTTTTAGGCCTGCCTAATGACCCAGGGTTGGGGTCATGGGTCAGGGGAGTCTCCCCAGGGCCCCACAGTTTGTAGCTCAGCTCCACCTCCAGCTGAGCAGAATCAGGTGATTTTGGATAAAAGACTGGGACTTGGAGGAAACACATGAGCCACATGGAGGAGAGAAAATCTGCCTCAGTCTCTCCCCTTCCATCCACAACCAATAAACAAACACAACAAAGGTGACTCTGTGCAACACACCAGGATTCCAGAGAATTCCACACAACTTATGTGTAGAGGTGGGTGGACTGGAATCCATGGAGGAGGCAGAACCTAGGGAAGAGCAGAGGCAGAGCCTGCGATCCTGGCCTCCAGCTGTGGCCAACGAGCTGGAAGCCCCAAGACACCTAGTGTAGCAGAGAGGTGACTCATAGGAATCCAGCCTTCCAGCCTCAGCAGTGCCAGGGCCCCAGGTATAACTAGATATCAGCAAGAGTGGGTCCTGGGTCCCCAACCCACCAGCCACTGGGCCACCTGTGACTTTGGACCCCCCAACCCCCCACTCACAGTAGCAGATCCGGACAGCCTTAAAACACAGGACATGGCAGAGGTGCCAGCACCACCCCATCTCCCCATCTCCCTGCATTCCTGAAGGAGAAATAATAAAATGGCCACGCTTAGGCTAACTAATTCCTGGCCTTATACTTACTGTTTGCTTTTGAAATGGTCAGCAAATCTAACTGATCAGACACTGCTCCAAACTCCGGCCTCTTGTTAGAATTACAGTTAGAGTTATGGATTCCCTGTGTGTTTTACCTTCCTCTGGCAATTGAAATTTACAGTCATGTGTGGATTCTGAGTCATTCCCCCAGAAAGGGAGTCACAGGATGACGATCTCAGGAGAATGACCAGACCCTCCGAAGTCCCTCCTGGCGCCCGATGAGTCTGATGAGATTAAGAAGGTCACGGGCTGATGACCCTCCAGACCACTGGACAGTCCTAAGATGCGGGACAGAAACACCAAGATTTAGGAGGAAGCTTCACAAGAGACTCTTGTTGATTGATATCCCCATTTAACGCCCCAAGTTATTCACTATATAA